GCCATACTTTTTTAAAGAAAATTTCATTTCAATAAAAGTTAGCAATCTCAACACATTTCAAAAAAAACTTCCAATTTTAATCAACAGGGACGGTAAATACGACACTGGTAATCCCTAGGCTAGTGTCCGCAAGTAGACTCTATGAGTACTACCAAACTGTCATTTTTACCGGTATTAATCGGAAGGCTCGACACCTATCTGCGCGGCTTTCTGGTCTTTCACCATGGACTCTCAGGCCAACTTATCAAGTTCAACTACACCCCCTATCTGGACTTACCACGTATTTACCCCATAACACATTTCCATTGTTCTTATTACAATATAATCCTTCTCAAAATAAACATGATGAGAATGTGCAATAATGATAGTAAATCACCTCATGCGCATTAATGACAATAAATCAAACGAGAATGCAATGTAATAATTACGGTCTCATAACATTTCTCCATCTTCAATTAACTCTTCAACAAGGTCAATTAATTTCATTTCTCATTTCTTCTCTTGCAATGTTATTTCACTACATTGCCATAGGCCATCAATTAATGCCAATAACACATAACAATTAATTTCCATCACACACAATCAATAATACTCAACAATTTACTATTTTCCACCACAAAACATGTTCATGCGTTCAACACTTGTCTTCAATAATTTCTCAATCCACATATATCAAGAAAGTTATTCTCTTTGCAAACATATGATAGAAATCTATTTTCACTTACTCATTTAAACAAGACAATGGAGAAAACCCATAGGTTCCTCCATATCCCTTCAAAATCCCAATTTTTCTAGGGTTTTCTTCAAAAACAAAAGTTTCCCATTCATTTTGTTAAAAACTAACAAAATCATCTTACTTAAGTTTTAATGAAAAGAAATCCCCTAAGATTGACAAAAAGGGTAGGATTTAAACCCACTTTTAAGACTCTCTACATTTGGACGACAAGAATCAAAATTTGTGTAACAACTTCAATAAAACCCTTGAATCAACATCTCAATGGTAAAACATGTATATATAACTCAAGAACTCCCTACCTCAAGCTTGTTGATGAAAGATGAGATAAAACCCTAACTTCAAGGATGAGAGAGAGCTTGATTTCTACCACCCCAAGTGAAGCTCTTGCCCTAGCTCTCCAAGATTGAGAGAAATGATGATGATCTAACCCAATGGATTTCAAGAATCAAGGAGTTTTTGGTGTTTGAAGAGGTTTTCTAGAGAAGGGGGAGAAAAATAGAGTTTAGAGTGAGAGGGAAATGTGTAAAATAAGGTATACCTTCGAACCAAAAAGAGGGGAAAAAACAGAGTTCGGGCTGTCCAGTTGGCCGCACGTGCGGCGGCCTCCACCGTTAGTGCGGCCGACCCTACCGCTCGAGCGGCCCACCTCTACCGCTTGTGCGGCTTATTTCCCTTGCTCGTGCGGCCCTCCTGCGCACGTGCGGCCTAGGGCCCCGCACGTGCGACCCTGGACCAACCACCCAAAGTTCCCGCTTCGCTCCTAGGCTCTCCGAACTCGCCTGCGCACCTCCCGGAACCAATAAAGTTCAACACCGACGAACAAAACAAGGACGAGTGCTTTAAATGGAATAACTTCCGAATGTTTCAAACCCAATGGGAACAAAAGAGGACGAAACCAAAGAGAAGGAAAAAGGAAAGAGAGAAAGGGACCCGACCGTCACAAGATGTAACAGATATGGTTTAAAATGGAAATGGTTTTATATCTATTGTTGCATCTCAGTATTGCATGCTTTATGAAAAGAGAGATAAACTACTTTATCGTGAGCATGGCATGAGCATACTCCTCTTTAGTCTTGTCATGGTCCATATGTTGTGTAGTATATCTCTACTGGGCCGTGACTCACCCTATAAGGGAAACCATTTCAAGTGCAAGTGATATGCCTCCGCCAATGCACTGACTTGGGAGGACTCGGAGCTGAGGTTTCATTTTTGTTTTATTTTTATTTGTTGAATGTAAGCCCAGAGCTGTATTTATGTTGAGTTGAAACTCCATTTTGTGTAACCAAGAATGTTCTTGGATAAATTTGTAAACATGTAGGGCACTCATTATCTGTTTGGCTTCCATTTCATACTTGTTGTAAAATGCATGCTTGGGATTGGAACTTGGGCATTGAGATGTGAACAACATGTATTTGGCATTTGGGATTAAATGGAAATGGATCTATGGAATAGTTAGCTATATGTATGTGTTTGTTTATGAAGTGGGTTTATAAATAGATATACCGTGCCTAATTTTCGGGGCGTTACAATGAATGTTCACATTGGTATGAATTTAATTTTTATAAAGTTAGTTGTATGTTAATTGTAAATTGTGAACATTCACATTATATTTTGGTATGAGTTTTTTTTTTCGAAATTTAATTGTATTTTGTTGTTTTTTTTACTATAATTGTTGGTTGAACAATCATTTTTGTTACTATTGAAAAATTGAAATAGTCAATTTTCATTTTTTTTTTCAATTTTATTTTATGTTTTCACGTTGCAGTGTGAGTGTTCACATTGGTATGAGTTTATTTTTTATTTTTTAAATAATTGTATATTAATTGTAAATTATAAACATTCATATTGTATTTTGGTATAAATTTTATTTTTTCGAAAGTTAATTGTACGCTTGTTGTTTTTGTTACTATGCTTTTAGTTGAACAATCATTTTTGTTACCATTGAACAACTGAATAGTCGATTTTCACTTTTTTTCAATTTTTTTTTTATGTTTTCATGTTGCAGTATAAATGTTTACATTGGTATGAGTTATTTTTTTTAAGAGTAGTTGTATGTTAATTATAAATTGTGAACATTCACATTGTATATTGGTATGAATTTTATTTTTTTGAAAATTAATTGTATGTTTGTTGTTTGTTGCGAATATTCACATTATACTTTAGTATGTGTTTTGTTTTTTTAAAAGTTAATTGTATGTTTGTTATTTATTGTAAACATTCACACTGTATTTTGATTTTCATTTAGATTTTTTGTTGCGTTATTTTTAAATTTTTCAAATTTTAAAAAGGTTCAAAATTCATAATTTGAGATTTTCTTCATGGAATGTGGGTGAGATTTTCTCTTAAAATAAGGGAGAGATGTTTTCCATGGAATAAGAAAAAGATTTTCCCTTTAGAATGAGGGAGAGATTTTCTCCATAAAATGAGGGACTATTTTTATGTATTAGTTTCAAAATAGAAACATGTATAAAAAAATTAGAAAGGATGATTTGGTCATATTACATTGAACATGACTTAATGGAATACTAAAAAAGAATATAAAGTAAAATGGAATAAAACATTTAGAAAGAAGATTTATAAAAAAATGACCCTATTTTATTTGAAACTTGCATCTTTTTAGGAACAAGTTTATAATATTATATTAATTTCCTAATCTTATGAGTTATCCTACAATAGCTCCTAAATATCTAATTTATTGTTATTTAATTGTGTACATACTAAGACTTGAACGTTGTTTTAAAATACAATAAAAAAGAAGTCTTTCTTCATCTCCTCCTCTTCTTCTACTTATTTTCTTTGTAAGTTTACTGTATTGAGTTTAAAAGTGAATGTTGGACAATTCAAGGTTCTTGAAATTCACTTTGTTGCACACAAATGATTTCAAAGGTCGTTGTATCTTAGGGGAGGAATACCATTCAACTCACTGCAGAAGAGGGTATACCATTCCTAAGGAGAGTGCAATTTGCATGCCTCGATCACGGTACAGGCTTCTCTAATCTTTCTCTCTAATAATAATATGTATTTATTTTTTTATTCTAACAGTAAATCTTGTTTAATTTTTCTAACAAAAACAACAACATAAGAAAAGATATTGAAGTAGAAACTATTTTTTTCCCTGTTTTTTTGGCTGGGTTAATATATATATATATATATATATATTTCTCAAAAAAATCATTACTTTGTTAATTACTTATAAACAAAATGGGGTAAACCACCATAAGTCTTAGTAGTTTGACTTAATTCTTATTAAGTACTATTGAAAATAAGTCTTGATAAATAGTCGCTAAAATTAATTTTTGTGACGATTTTTTGCATTTGTCACTAAAAATTGACAATTAGTTACTTTTTTTGTCACGGTTTTTATAAATTTTCGCTAAAACTTACAATTAGTGATGTTTTTCTATGACAAAAATTTCAAATTGTCAGTGAAAGTTGAAAATTAATGACTCTTTTTGTGATGATATTTAGACTGTCGCTAAAACTTATAATTAGTGACATTTTTTGTGACAATTTTCAAACTGTCGCTGAAAATTAACAATTAGTGATTTTTTTTAATAGTATTTGATGAAAGAAAACCATCAATTATCATAGGACCTGTTGAACAATAAATCCACTTATTAAGATCTATCCGTAAATCCCTCTAAAAAATAAGTACATGTAAATAAATTTATAAACACTAACAAAGTAATATTTTCAGGTAATATGAAGAAGTAAATAAGACTTATTTTAGCTTGTTTCTCCATGCGCACACTTGTTAGATGCTTTGTTTTTTAAGTTACAAAATCAGAAAATTAATTCTTTTTGCCTCATAAGTTGTAAGAGCAACTCCAATAAAACACAAGAGGCAAAATAAGCATCTTAGGCATTTTTGTAACTAAAGGTTTCATTTTTTGCCTCCAACAACCTCTGCATCAGAGATGTTTTGACTATTTCTATTTTGGCTCTTTGCATATAGCTAACATTTTGACTTTTTTATTTTGGCTTTTTACATATAGCTAACGTCCAATGCTAGCCACACATGTCCTCCCTCCATTGTGTTGCCCATTTTTCTTTTAAAAATTAGTCGAGTTAGTTTGTATGATTAAGTAAAATAAGATTTTATTGAAATACAAACAAGATAAGACCGTTCCGCAAAATAAACATATATGGTCATATTGGAGTTGCTCTAAGCAAAGAATATACCAAATATTTTGAAACTGATTTAAAAAAAATAAAAATGAGTCATCCACAGCCTCAATAGACAACACCAAACAGGCCCAAAGGATATTTCAATGCTTGCCTTGTATTCTTGTAACAATAAATTCTTATCATATACAGTAAAATATATGGACTGCACATAAATTTTCAGAAGCCAAAGCAACAATCTGCACCATCCACAAAACAATACAAAACAAAAAATGAAAAATGAAGACAAAAAATCTGCACACAGAACAAATTGGGAACTTGAAGGGTGCTTCAAATGGGACACCACTTTCACTTTCTCATTCCCCTTTCCATCGCAAATTTGATTTGCAGATGATCGATGATGTTATTTACTTAAAAACAAACTCAAACTTTCTTCAGATTCAGTGCGCGTGGCATTACTTCGATTTGAAGTGGAAAATACCAAATTTAGTGAACGTGAACAGCTTGAGGCTGTTGCTGCAGCGTTGGCAGTCCTCCGGTTTCTTCGTCAGAAGAAGAATCTGATATGTCAGGGGACTCCTAAAGGTCACCGAAAAGAAAATAAGTAAATGTGTTTTATGGTCACGATAGATGATCTCTTAATTGGAGAAAAGGTTAAAAACGGTTTTTTAATTTAATTTACAATGTATTCACCTGTTGCTGTTGGCGTCGGCGGCGGTGGGTGGCATTCACTGCCCTTACAATAACGTAGAATGGCAGAATAATTCCAGAAGTTCGCAAAAGCAACAACTGTCACAGAATGTAACGAATAATTAATTTTACACCACAGGAATCTTATAACTGTCAATTTTTGACCCCTCTGTGTGTGCATGTGTTTTATAATATTAGTAGGCTGTGCACAAACACAATGCGTGTGCAGAAATGAAAGATGATTGTAACCGTTTTTCTGAAAAGAAAATATATATATTCAAAAATAAATAAATAAATAAATAATTGAACAGTTATACAAGGGTGATTTGGGCATGGAAAGTGTGTGAGATAACCTTGTCAAGGTGAGTTGCATAGTTCATATAATATATAGAATAGGTGAGCAATATATCTTACCAAGATCAATGGGAGAGAGTAGTTTTGAGCTCCACTGACTATTATGGGAAAAGTGTGCCGTAAAATCAGAAGAACCATGAACTGCAGACAAGAAACGAAAGAAGCTGTTAAGGTTATTTCAAATAGCCATGGTAATGCGTAAAATTTTCTAGTTTGAACAGTATTAATTTTTTATTTTTTTTTCCCGATTTGTAACTTGATGTTTCACCAATATTAGTAAAATGTGTTTCTCATTTTTATTCTAATTTTGAATCTGATAAAGGGTTTTTGATATTCAATTTTCAATTAGACACAGAACAGAAGGAAATTACAATGATAACAAAGACACCATAAACATATCTGATCCTTGTATTTGCATTATGTTAATAAATTGATCCTTGTTTCTCATTATGTTCTGTTACATTTCAACTTTGCATTAACTTTTTATCAATTTTTCTGATCTGTTAATAAATTGGGGAAATTACATTTTACCCTCCTATGGTTTGGCCCAAAAACACATAATCCCTATCCCTATGGGGTGCAGTGAACTGCAAATCAGACTGAAACAGTTAAACAGAGTCCACGAAAGAGATTTTTTTTCCTACTCATATCAAAATAAATGGCAGGAGGGATTAGGGCATTTTTGACAATTTTTATTTGCTTTAGTATGTCCAATTTGCAATTCAAACCAAACCGCAGGGAGTAAATTTTAATTTTCCAAAATTTTCTTTGAAATGAAAATATACACCTTGCACATGTGCACAGAGAGAGAGAGAGAGAGAGCTTACAATTACGGCAACTATACGGAAGCAAACCAGGCTTCTTGATGTAGAAGCCGTGTAGTCGTCATAGTCGGGCTCAAGTAAATTACGTTCAGTTGAGACCATTGCTATAAAGCGAGGATTATTCACATCCCTTCTGACAATATGCCAATTTCCTCTGAGTAAAAACATGGGAAAACATTTTTGAATGTTGCAGTGGCGGAGAAAATGTGCACGTCTCAAATTAACAGCAACAAAAACTAATGAAAATAAATATGAAGAATCCGAGGGGAGGCTATGGAGGAGATCAGAGTTACCTAAAGTTCATTGGAATACCCCCCAATTGAAACATAGGAGGAGGTGCTGTATAGCCTGGTTTGTATGGCTGCAATTCACATATATTTGACATTAAATAAAAAAAATAAAAAAATAAACTAAAGAATACTCAAAATGATTTATAAGAGCGGTGTATGAAGTTTAAATTGTTAAAAAAAATGAACATATTTGTGAGATCAAAAACAGAACTGAAAAGAAATTACCAACCTGTTGACATATCTCACACACAGTGTCACCCTTCTCATTACACCACCTCTGTATGCATCTGCGGTGAGCATACTGCAAAATGAAGCAGAAATAAGAATTGTGAATTGCGGAAAATAGCTCTTGAAGAGATAACTGATCACATTTGCGAAAGACATTGCATTCAACCCACTAGACAATGTAGCCATGTCACATTCAATCAGTTGAATAAGCAAGTATGATGTACAGAAAAAGTTTAACACCCTTCTGAAAACACATTTCAGATAAAGACATCCTTTTATTGCATTACATGACACGAGGGAACACAAAATTTATGTTTTTATATATTTATTAGAAGTCATACTATGAATATACTATTCAAAGATAATAAAGAAATGCAAAATAGCATTAATTTTTGTATATCTACATTATTTTTCTTTTATCTTTGTATTTTAAGTTATTTTGTTCAAATTAAAATAAAAAGAAAAAAGAAAAAAATAGTAGAACATATTTGGATGAGTGTTCAACACATGTGTCGGGAAGTGTTTGATGAGAAAGACCAAAACCCCAATCCATGGAACCCAATATAAGACATTTCTGAATTACATGGTGCAATGTGCTTCTACCTTGTGCAAGCTAAGCTGTCTCAAAGACTAGAATTGCTTTAACCGAGGAATTGAGGAGGGTTTTTGTATGATCATGGTTGACAGAGGAGACTGCTTCATAGATTCAACCAGAAATTTGCAACTTAAAAGACAAAACCCCAATCTATGGAAACTGATACAAGGCATTTCTGAATTACATAGTGCAATGTGCTTCTACCTTGTGCAAGCCAAGTTGTCTCAAAGACCAGAATTGCCTCAATGGAGAAATTGAGGGTTTTTGTTTGGTCAAGATTGGAAGAGGAGAATGATGTTGGCATGCACGTTCTTGAAGAGGTGCGCGATGTATTGAATGAAGAGGAGACAGAAGAACTATTTTCCCCAACATGTGACCTCCAACAACGAATGGGGAAAGAGAAAGCCACTTTCCACCATTTGAGGATCCAAGTTATAAATCAAAAGCCATAGTACACACATACGACAGTAGCATGACTTTTTAACAAGTATAAATTGCAGAAAATAATCAAGTGGAGCCAAAAGATTTTACCATAAAGCACATAATTGCATGATGATCAAAGAGCCAAAATTTCAACTCCATTAGAAAGCTTCTAAATACAGTAGCAATTATGACAAATGAAAGGCAACTAACCTTCAAGCTGCCACAGCAAGAGCAAGGTGTCTCCATATTTGAATCTTCATCCTCATCCTGGCATATCCTGCATTCCACTATCTTCCCTGAAGACGAACAATTTCTCAAAACGGAGACATGTGAAGGGCAATCAATTTTGATGTCATCAGTTGCTAACGCTGTCAATTGCTTTGACAGATTACTGTGCTCGATTGCAGCTTCCAAAGTCGATTCAGTAAGCAAACGATCCACCAGCAATACAAAGTGATCTCCCATCCTCAAATACCAATTCCCTTGAACAGGTGCTTGAGATTTACAGAACCCTAAAAATCAGAACTAGTACAATTAGAGCAAGCCCATGTTAACCATCATCAATTCTATTATATTCTATTCTATAAAGAACACAACACAGCTCAGAACATATTTTGAAATTTTGTCATGCCTTCTGTTTTCCAAGAATGCCTGTAAAATTGTTAACTACTGAATTCTTCTTCTTCTTCTTTTTTTTTTTTTTAAAATTCCCAAAACTACAAATTCGGTTAATTTAAAACTCCACTTCCAGTAAATAAGTGTTAAATCATTCATCAAACCACCCAAAAGTTTAGATTTACAATTGCAAACGCATCACATTTGCACCCACTGCTCGTGTATATAACACAAACAATTACAACAACAAATACTAACACAGAGAAGTAATTTTATGAGTTGAAGAATTGAATAATAATCAGAAGCCAAACAAGAAGCTAAAACCTCAAAACATTGTAGCCCTGAGTAAAACAAAAATTACCTTAACACTACAATGGAACAGTCATTGGGTTATTAAAAGGCCAACTAAATTGAAGAAAATTAAAGCAAAACAACTGTCATATATTGGGGAAAAAAAAGAAGAAGAAGATTTAACTCATAATTCATTCACAATCACCACTAAAAAGCACTAAAGGATCATCATCCAAAAACCAAAACAAAATGAAGAACATGAACAAGAAAGCAAACATAAAAAGGTTGGAAACATGAAGAGTGAGAGGGTATAAAAAAAATTAAAAGTAGGGTATCTCACAAAACGCCTCCCAAGACATTCCAAAGCCATGAGAGATAGAGAGAGAGAGAGAGAGAATGCAACATACCCAAATGAGAAAAAAGTCACCTTTCAATCAATCCAAGGCCATAAACAAAGGGAACACAAACAGAAAAGTGGAATTTAATGAAATATACAGATATTGGGAAGAAAGAGAGAGACTTACAAGAAGGGGATAGCAAATCTGATTATCTTCAAGCTAAGAAAGCTTTCTCTGTTTGTGGGTTTTCTTGTTTGTGTAGAAAAATCTCTGTTTTAGAATGAAGCAAGATAGAGAGAGAGAGAGAGAGAGATTGAGTGTCTCAATTTACATATACAAACCCTTCAACAAACCAAATATATACAAATACTAGTATAACTATGAAGTTTTGGATTTAGCTATTTGGGTATATATAGATAGAGAGATATGAAGTGTTGAGAGAGAGAGAGAGAGATTATAACGGCAAAGGAAGTCACGACTTCCACGATTTACTGGGACTTCACCGTTTTTGGCGGTTTAGATTACCCTCCACCCATGAAAAAAGATTACTCTGTTCCTTCTTCTATAAAATTGTAAGACAAAAAAAATTTACACAAGTCAATTTTTGTTTTATTTTATTTTATTAAGACTAGACAATGTCAAAGTCAATTTAATCAGAGACAAATCTTGACCATGGACTCAGGAAACAATCCCAAATAATTGAAGGTCCCCCTATTTGTCAAAAATTAAAAAAAAAAAGAAAAAAAAAGGGGAGAAAATTCTAAACCTATTTTTGGGTGGCTTTTAATGACTAAAATGACATATGAATAAAAAATATAGGATAATTCACCTTGTTTGGTTTTATCTGTTTTTCTGAAAATTGTTTTTTTATTTTTTTAGTGATTTTTTAATAATTTTTATTTTAATTTTTTTTTTAATGTTTTGGATATACTTCATCTCGGTATACTTAACAAAATCATCTTTGTGATATTTTTTTAACAAAATCGCCAAATACAAAAAATACAATATATATATATATATATATATATAAATTAGGTATATTTTCGTATTTTGTTATATTCAATGACTTTTTTAAAAAGTTTTTTTTGTATAAATTTTATACTTTTTAAGTATATCAAGATTAAGTAGATTTAAAAAGTAAAAAACATTGATTAAAATATTTTTAAAAATCACTAAAAATACAAAAACACAAATTGAAAACTCAAAAACTATTTTTGAAAACTCCAAACTAAATTCCTTGGAGTTCAATAAAATACAAGGAGCATTACAATTTTAGTTACACTGACTTCTCTTTTAATATAATGCTAAATGGATTGAAATTAATATAAATGATGTGAAGATACAGACATAAATAAGAAAAATTGAACATTTCAGTATAAAGAGATCATCAAAGTGAAATTTGAGACAAATTATAAGAGTTAAAAGTGTAATTTATCCAAAAAAAAGTAAAAAATTAAGAATTAAAAGCTATATCTTCATGACAAACCCAGAAATAATTGGTCTACGGTTTAAATTAATACTTAGTTACAAAATATTGTAAGTTTAGTTGCTATTATAATCAAGTCAGTAAATTATTAAATTAAAATTAATAATGGCTTATTCTAATAATTAGTTATATCCTAAAGTAATATTAGTTATGATTAAAGCGGCTTCAATTATGCTTCCAAGTAGTGCTGATTATAAATTAAGAAAAATGCTTTAAAAAAAAATAGTTTAAAAAATTGCTCTTAGCATTGAAAAAGTATATAAATAGTAACCAGGGGTAGGTGGCATTGTAGTTAAGGCCTGGGATTTAAGCCCTCAGGTCACAGGTTCAATTCCCCCATCTGGGGCAATTTTCTAGGTGAAGTACAGTTGGTTAGGAGGTTGGACCACAAGTTGTTTAGTCAGCACTTGGTTACTTAAGCAGAGCTTGTCTTGAGAGATCGGGAGGTTGGACCTCAAGTTGTTTAGTCAATACTTGGTTACTTAAGCGGACCTTGTCTTGAGAGATCGGGAGGTTGGACCTCAAGTTGTTTAGTCAACACTTGATTACTTAAGCGGAGCTTGTCTTGAGAGATCGGGACAAGTTTCCAAGTTATAGTCTCCGCATTCGGAACTCAAGTTGTTTAGTCAATACTTGGTTACTTAAGCGGAGCTTGTCTTGAGAGATCGGGACAAGTTCCCAGGTTATAGTCTCCTCACTCGGAACGGCTAACAGGACACCCTGATGATCTCTGCAAGGGACGCTTTGAAGTGTGTGATAGTGTTTTAAATATGAAAAAATATATTGAGATTATAATCATTTTGATATTTTATATATATATTTTTATAGACAGCCCATATCATTAGGGAAACCATAAATTAATATGACTATGATTTTCAAATTTATTTATTAAAATCCAATAAATAAATAAAAGTGAAAATGTCCAATTGATTAATCAGTCAACTGGGATGGAGTTTGTTCTGACTTGCCGGCTTAACTTTCTCTCTCTACCTACCTCTTGGTTGAAAAATAAATAACCAAACAGGAAATTAAAAAAGACAAAAAAGAAGAAGAAAAATTCAAAATCATGACTCATTCGTTGGTTTGGTTGGTGACCATCCCAATCCAATACATCTCATGCATGAAGTCCAATTTGACGATTTTCAAATTTAATAAGTCTTCTTATCCTTTACTTCGTCATTTGTCATGCATGAGGCATATGCTGTATTGTTTTTTGTTTTCTATTTTGAAAATTAGAAAAAATAAAAAATTGTTTTCAAATTTTTGTTTTCTCAGGGCCAGCCCAACACTCTTGGGACCTAAAGCAAATTTAAATATCAATATAGATATGGAAATGTGACGCGACATGGACACGATATCGATACATCAACATAAAAATTTTCAACATATGGATAACAAATATGTTCTTGAAAATAATTTTTTTATTTTTTTGGAGACAAATAAAATAAAATAAAAAGTTACGATTATGAACTCAATCTAAATTTTTTTCATAGATAATATACTTAGAGGGACTTATAAAATGAACAGTCTAAATCAGGGAAATAGAACCCTTAATAAGTCTTATGAGCCCTTTAACTTTTCTCAATTTTAATTTTTTTTAGATGGAATTCTCAATTTTAAATTTAAAAATATGAGCTTAAGGTATACCCAACTCTACATAAATTCACTAGTCCTAAATGGTCATATATGATCAACTATGACCATTTAGAACACTTTGAGACTCCATTTGATTCTAGCTTTAAGTTTAATAAAATAAAAATAAAAGAAGATTATTGAAAAGTCCAATATAAGAAATGTATAAGGCATTAGATCCAAATGATATTTTTTATTGGTGAGAGATTCACTCTTTGTGAAATAATTTAGTGAGAAGCCATTTTTATTGTCTAGGAAGATATTTTGTTTTCAATTTTATTCCTTAATTTATCTATTGACTTTTTTTGACTATTTGTTCAAATTTATATCTATCTGTTCAAATTTTTCCTTATCTGTTCAATTTTTTACACTATATATTTAATTTTTTTTTCTATATATTGAATTTTTACACCTCTCTCTCTCTCTATTTGTTGAAATTCTCATTTTTAACTTATTGGAACAGATCATATCCATTGTTCAAAAAAATTATTTGTTTAAATTTTTTTCTATCTGTTAAAAATATTTGTTCATGAATCCACTATCTGTTAGAATCTTTTTCTCTCCCCCCTATCTGTTTCAACCATTACAAAGCTTATCAACAGCATTCATTATCATCATCAACAACAACGACAAAAACAACAACAATCAATGACAACAAAAATAAATAAAATAAAAAAAAATAGAGAGAGAGAGAAAGAAAAAAAAGAAGAAACTCTTTTTTTTTTTGGTAAATAAAAGAGAAGACTCTTATCTGTTCAAAAAAAAAAAAAAGAACTCTGATTTGAGATCTGGGATGAGACAAATATCAGATTTTTGGATCAAATCTCAGATCTCATAACCCTAATATATATATATATGTATATGTTCAAATCTACAAGAGGTTTTTTGGTTTTGATGGTCGGGAGCGAAGTGTGAGAGACAGTAGTAGAAGATTTGGCGGCGACGGTGAACTTAGATCTTGCAAAAATGGAACCGAAGGTGTGCTCTAGCGTTGATCCCCTCTACCAGTCATCCAACTCCAATCTCCACTCATGAGCTCACAAGAATCAACACCACCGCCAGCAGTAGTGACCTCTTGATTACTGCGACACCTCCATGACCTCTTAACCACCAAATCTACGTTGTTCCAGATCTTTATTGTTCGGCTTCAATAGATCTCAAGAAAGAAGTTTCTTTTATTCTCTTGAACTCAAATGGCAAGGTTGAAACGTCGTTACGTGCAATGACCAAATATGGTGGTAGATGTGGAGCAAGAGAGGGAGAAAGGGGTGTGGAGTAGGAAGGATGATGTGTCGATGGAGAAGTTTAGGGAGGTCCTGGTGTCACACTCCCACATTTTATTACTTGGATACATTACCAATACCATTCTTATAATACAATTTCAGAGATAACGAATAGAAGTTCTAATACATCAATGAAGATAAATAAATGAAGATTTTCTCATTCGTATACGTAATGAATGCAACATGTGATATAATTAAATAAATTGTCCGTAAGCTTACATCACTACATAAAAGAGAAAAGGTTTAACCCTTTTTCAACAACGGTATTCTGCCAACAAATATAAGGCCCCGTGGCCAACAGATAAAGAAGATCCTCTATCTTGAAAACACTTATGGACATTCACCTGAAAAAAGATTAGCAGTGTGGGACGAACATAAAGTCCAGCAGAGATCCCAACATGATCCTAAATAATAACTTATAGATAGTTATAATCATAAATGCTCCAATTCATACTATGTAAATAATGTGACGATTTGTACTAAAGTATATTTACATAAGGGTACTTTTCCCAAAATCCTCCAATTTGTTCAACAACAAAGTTAGTTCACATTTCCTTCTTGTTTTCTATTTCAACAATATCATATATCAACCGTTTTGTTGTTGTTGTTGGTTTTTTTTTTTGAAATACATTAACAAAATTTTCATTTCTTACTTTTACTTACAAACTTGATACGTAACCTACTTCCACTTCCAACACATTCATTACATTTTACAGGCCTTGAGTCCAAAGTTAAAAAGAAACTTTTTACAATTTATTAGATATGCTCACATGTATAAATAACATCCAATACGAAAAATGAAAACAACAAACACCCAACAACTGTTTACTCAACATATAAAACAACACAGGGCAAACTTCACTTTACCCCTCTGTGGTTTGGGCCGGGTGCAAATTACCCCCCTGACATTCAGATATCACCATATAACCCCCCTGTGGTAGATGGACTAAAACGTATAGTTAGCTTTCCCATACAAATTAACGGGCAGTGAGGTTTACACGCCCGTGAAGAGAGTAAGCTATATTTTATGACCAAAATACCCTTACACATCTTTAAATTTACAAAAGCTTGCCATTCTTCCTCCTCCTCCTCTCTCACAGCTCCAATTTAGAACAAAA